TAGTTCTCCCTCAGCTTAACTCAGCTTTTGACAACATAGTAATATCTTGGAAAACCTGGTGTGAAGTCGGATGTTCACCAGTCTCCAGTACTTATGTTGCCAGAGATGACTCTGGAGATATGTTAAAACCATTTGGTAAGATCAGTTGAGATTTTAGATTTCTATCAAAAAGCTTTGACGGTATGTATAAACTTACAAATCGTCATGATCTGGAACTTTTAGGGGATCGACAGGATCAGTAAACTATACTTTTGGAATGTCGCTCTAAACTCAGTTTGGTCAAAGGTATGTTCATAAGATCAACAACCTAATAATGCTCGCCTATGTAAATACCTTGATCGGTCATGAATGAGCCATTCTTAACAGGAAGGAAGATGGCATGAGAGAAGAGTTTCAAAAGGCAATAAGAAGAAAAAAGATGGAAAATGAGTGTAACAAACGCCATGGGGCAAAACCTAAACACTTTCCAGTTAGAAAGTCAGTGAGTGCTCGCGAAAATGGATACCCGGTGTGATGAAACAAAAATCAGAACTTGTAACAAGCAGGATGGGATTTGAAGGAATGTTGTAGTTGGGACATGCAAACCATATCCGTAAACGTGAAGGTCCATATGATGCAAACAACCAGCTTCAAAAAACCTTACTAATGGAAATCGTGCGTCCAAGAGGAGAAAAACCAAGTGAACAATGGTCAGAAGTGCAAATAGAAGAAAGATCCAGATAGCAGAGAGTGCGATTACCCACACAGTATCTCCATGTGATTCCTTAGTCAAAGACATACTGGAATTCACGAAACTAAAAAGAGGGAGGTGGTGTTGGATAGGAAAGACATGTTTGACTGGACAGTATTTTCCATGTAATATATGATATGAATATTCGTACTGAATCTTAAACAAAGTGCCATTTGCATTTTATTGATCCATTATCAGCCTCGGTAAAAAGTCATGTTATTATCATGTTAATCTTTTATTAACCAGTGACTGAAAAGACAACTCAATATTAAACTTGATAATTATTAATCCACTAAAAGAAGTATATTAAACAGTCATATTCTCAGGTTTCTTTTGCCTTTTTCTATAGCAATAATTCTTGTCTTCTGGGTCTTTTAGAAGTGTGGGAACAGTATTTTCAACAATCAGTATCCATTGCCGTGCATTAAAGTGTTGTGGCTATTTAACGACAGCTTCTTATATGAAATCCAATAATTAGGAGAAATCCTATAGTCTCAATACTTTTTCAGTCACATCAGAATAAACACCAACATCAGAATCGATACTATAACTAACGGTAATATCATTGACTGCGGTAATAATAGTGTCAGTAACAGGGAGACCAACAAAGTGAAGTGTAGCAGAATCAAGAACTACACGAAATTTGACACCAACTTAGTAGGACTTTTTCCCTTTTCCCTCTTTATTTTTTTTCAATATATCTCCCTTTTTTATTGACATTCCTCACCTGAATTTTTATTCCCGCTTGTGTCTCTACTTTCTGGTGGACTATTTATACTTGTTCACGTTGTATTCTTCACATATTATACTACGCATTACTGTCAGTTGGGTTATAATCTAAGAGTAATAGCATGTGTTATTGAAGCTTTATTGTCGCTTTGGTACGTTTCAGGTATGCTGAAAATCTCAATTTCGATGCAGTTATATTACGTAGGAAACAATTGCAAAAATGTTAGATTTTAAGTCATATTCTGCTATATTCTATGCTAGGTAGTCATTTGAGAACACAGATTGATCATATAATCCTTTTTTCCTTGATTTCATTCAATAAGAATGATACAACAACACCAGTATGAGTTAACAAACACTCCCGTTGAAGTGTAAATATATAAGCTCCGTAAAAGTATACCTTACATTATCTTGCTACTAGCTTGATTTGATCACATAATATTCACAACCAACCAAATAACGATAACCAACAAATTTCGCTGCTTGGATAATGGCCACACAGAAAGTAGTGACAAACAAAGTCCACTTTTTAGGTTGGCTATTCCATTCAGATATCATTGATCAGTGTTGTGTGTAAATAATGGATTGATTTGATGAAGCAAGTTGGTTTCGTCTACTAGAAAAAGGACTCTTCGTCTTCAAGATATATTCGTCACACTTTTAACCCTTACCAGATGATGACTTCCGGCTTACTTTAGGCCAGAATTGGAAATTATTGCAAGTTGACCTCGACAGTTTCAGGAATTTTCTAGCTTCAGACTCAAAGTGTTAAATGATTCATATTGGTGCGATTAAATTTCATTTTCGAAACATGATTTCTACAGAAAGATTCTTTCCTGTAATATCGTCTAACCAATCACTGCCATGCTAATTAATTCACTTGAAGGATCGTTGTTTGATACCTTTTACTAAACAGAGTTGAATTGCTTGACCTGTGTTGGAGAAGGGACTCCCATGCGGATCTCTCGATACTGCCAGATATTCATGATGTTGTATTTATTTTGATGTCTTGTAATGGAATCCAAGACGAATGGTTCGTCATATTTTGGATTCCACTGTGAGTCACCAAGATGAATACGATTGAAAGATTCTTGGTAGTGTTTAAAAACTAGCATCTGACCAATGGATGCCTCTTAAAATGAAGCTGTTAATAGTCACCTGAACAAAAAAAGGAATATAAGTTGACCTTATTCTTACACTAGGAGTTTTCACGATAAATTGAGAAACTTTCTTACAATATTTACAATAGATTTATTATATTAGAAGACTTTTTGCTTTTTCCCTACTACAGGTTTGTAACTTACCCTTATTCTGCCTTTGCTTAAAGACTATTTGGTTGGTTGCAGCCGCTATTTTTCATATCTGTGCTGCAAATTGTAATATAAACTCTATCAAATAAATAGTGCTGTTTAGCTGTGCGCCACATCAAATAAACAGAGCTAGCAAGCGGTCATAATCCACCGTAATACCCAAGTTCTAGTCTTCTAAACTACTAACTATTTGGAGGGGATTGGCAGAGAACCTGAACAAAAGTTGGACGCTTGCTACTACTCGACAGTAAGGAATATATAAAACCTCAGTAGAACCGTTGTATCCTCAAAGATCCGAATCCCCGTAATTCGTACCACAGTCAGAGACTCTACGACCAAGCTGTTCAAGCAGAGAATGATGGCCAGAGGAAATGGAGTAACGTAAGAGAAAAAAATTGGGCATCGTGGTAGAGTATAATTCCATATAAGATTGTTTGTTTGATATGGCGCTTAGTAACACTATAATTTACTGAATGACGTTTCAAGCACAATTTACTGCTCATATTCATAGCAAAGTAATCATACGACTTTCCTAAGGAAAGAAGCTAGAAAGTCTCATGATTACTTTGCAGTAAGTTCTGCTTGAAATGTCATTCAGTAAATTGTATTGTGTCACTATGTGCCACATCACATAAAAAATCAAACATAGAACTGAAGTAGGCTGGTGGATAGGTTACTAGAAAAAAGTTAGTGTCATTTTCTCGAGCTTTAAGTGCCAATAGAATTCTAACGATTAAGTTTACAATTTGATCACCAAACTGACTGATAGTGACGTATGGAGCCATAATGATAAGTTATGGTTCTCGGAACTAATACTAAGAAATTGGCTGAGTAGAGTTGACTCACTCTGTTCTGTACGAGGTTCACCGTTGTTATCTCTCTCTCTCTCTCTCTTCCCCACCACGTTACATCTACTTCCAATAATGAGTCTGCGGACTATACAAGATAATAGAACGAATGTTATTATAGTTTATATACTAATAGCAATAACAATTTTAATACAAACTCTGTAATGCAGAATTTTCAAAACAGGTGACAAAACATCATTAGCAATAAACAAAGATAAACAAGAATAGAGTGAGGTAGAGTTGTGAGTTTGTGCAAAGCATACGTAGATACATACAATGGCAGAGACAGATTTACACTTGTTGTATGCATACTAGCGTACAAACAGATAGATGTAGGCACATACACACAGAGCTTTAGGTAATCAAACAGCTAACATACGTTTGCAGCACACTAGCAATCATACGTGACTCTCAGTCTACATACAAGCCCATCTTAATCAAATATACATATGTGGGCACATAATCATAACATTAGGGGAACAGCAAAAATTAACACACACACACACACACACACACATTGGTAGAGAATAAAACAAAAGTGAAAAGTGTAAGAAACAATGGAAAGAGGAAAACTTAGAAATAGTCACAAGCCTAATCCAGTTTCTGAGTCTTTTGATGTTCATTTAAGCAGATAAAATGATTTTCTATTGAAGAAGAGAAATGCACTTCAACTTCAACTCAAAAACGGAGTGGTACAAAGCGTAGAGAGAAAGTAAGAGGTGAGTATATATGAAAACTGTATATATCATTACAATTTAAAGATGACCGTAGATATATAGCAAGTAAAATGACACCATGTAAAAGAATATGCGCTGCTAGTGACTGAAATGACTGGATATGTAGTAAGCAGTCAAAATGTAACAATGAGGAGATAAAACAACAAGCGAGAAAGAGTATATATCCCTCATATAAGAAGAGAATTACAAGACAGCTTTCGTTAGCACTAATTTATGATGGTGATGAAATTTTTCGCCATTCAACTGCTCAATATACTTTTACATAAGCAGATAAACAAAGGGAATATAAGTACAATGCAACACCTTACCTTAAAAGATGATAGTTTCTGATTGAAATAATCTATTCAAAGATATAGTATTACGGAAAAGTAACTATGACTTTCTAAACAAAATTCATTTCTTTGGCATATTTTTATTCTCAACAGTAATAAAATTCAACAGATTTGTGCGTATATAGCATAGAAATTCAACAAATGAAACCAATTAATTCAATTCATATTATGTAAAAATATATTCGTATACTGTTCAAGTGTGTGCAAACGCATATTCAGATAAAAATAAATGCCTGTGAATAAACAAACGTTAAAATACATAAACGCGTATATATATATATATATATATATATATATATATATATATATATATATTACACAAAGAGGAATGCTCGCAATCGACGCTTCTCAAAGTTGAAACCAACTTGTTGATGAGAGAAACAAATCATCTACAACCAATGTAGGCGAAACATAATGCTAATTTTTATCAATGTTATAAATAACTTCTATCATGTATAATGAGATAGTATTAAAATTAATTTGGAAAAAGCAGAATTTCGTCTAGTGAATAAAATATCAGCTGAAAATAAAAACAAACCCAAGTGTACCAATAGAAAAAAAAAAGATTATCCAAAAAGAAATTTGTTTTCTTTTCATTTAAGAATAAAATCACTAAAACAATAATAATAATAATAATGACATAACAGAAAGAATAATAACTTGATGAGTCTGCGTATGAACTGAATGTGCATATTTTATGATTCAATGTTCAATGTAGAATTGGTACACTGAAACATGCACAACACAATACAATTAATTAGAAGTAGATGATCAGAAAAGTGTTTGAGAACAAGATAAAGATAATATTATTTATCTAAATAAATAAATATACATAACTTTAGGAGAAATGTTGCATAGTAAAAATGAGATTTTTATTCTGTAAATATATACATACAGTTGATATAATCGCAGCAATTATTACGTAGAACTGATTTATGGTTATACAAGATACCGAATTATATGACATTTTTCTCATATCTGTATCAATATTATTTTTTATATTATCATGGATAATCTTATTATTATCATCATCATATTGAACTGAATCTTCTTGGTGAATTGAATACTGTCTATGATCATTCGATAGAATAAGTTCTTTTTCAGAATATCCACTTCGATCAATTGTATTCGACGCTTCTATATGCGTAAAATCATTTGGTTGTAGAACTAATGGGGGTAGATCAAAATCAATTGATGGATTCGATTCATCTAAACCATTATTTGATGAAGAATAACCTATAGAAGATGATGGAATGGAAGATGGTGGAAAATAGTGTGCCGATACTTCATGAGATCCATGAGATGTTAAGGATGAAGAAGGTGAAGAGGAGGATGACGACGACGATGATGATGGCAATGAGAGAACAGAGACTGCTGGTAGAAGCGGTGGTGGTGGTGGTGGTGGTACAGGAGGAGGAGGAGCTGGAATGGGTGAGAGACTTTGATATTCATGATTCCAAGTCGGCCAGTATCGATAAGAATTTTGACTGTTCAAATAATAAAATGGTGGATACGGATATGAATTATGATTTTCAGAGGAACTAAAAGAAGAATGTTCACTATTACCTTCACTAGGATTTGCAATCGAGTTTAATGAATAGTGTTTCAAAGTTTGTACAGATTTCTGTTGAGGTTGTTGCACAGTTTTGGCTAAGGGGAGCTTATTTTTCTGGGGATTAACCCATGACTTTTGGGTTTTTGCTGTAGGATTAGGTTCTTGATTTCTAGAAAGTTGTCGAACACCTCGTCTATGCGAAGAACCTGGCGCAGATGGTGGGGGAGTATTTGTTCCGTATAGAATTAAACTCCAATCATGGATCGATACTAAAAAAGATGAAGTAAAGTGTACAATACTTAGATAATAAATTTATAAGTAGACTTTTCAGAAAATTATTGATTACAGTAAACTAATGGTGACACAAGAATGATGGGTTTGAACAGACGTGTATACTAAACATAAGGATTGTTGGTTGACTTACTTGAGAGATATTTAAAGGAGATAAAGGGCAGAAAGGAGGTAGTGCCTCTCGTTATTTGCATAACTAATTTTTAGGGTGGGACTAGAAGTTATCCCCAAATGTTATAGCATTCTGTATAAAAAAAATATAGTTTGTGTTCTGCATGCATATGTTCTCAAGTGAGAAGTGCAATCATAAATCCTTTTGGTTGTAATTTGAAGCCTCAACTTACCCACTGTGATCTGATCTATGAGAAACATTCATCTCGAATAACTGTAATTACTTTCCTCCTAAGAAGCGGAAGTGAAGCCAACACTTGCCACGTGAATAAATAATTTGAAACAGGATTCAATGACAGACAGCACCGTAAAAACTATGCAAATAGGTAAAATATTCATATAGAAGATAGAAAATGTTCACATTTTCACAAACAATCCTACAACCTATGGCAAGCATATGCGGATAGCTTTTAGCCCTGCCCATTTTTTCCTCCAGCTATTATTTTGAGTGGTGTTTGGACAGGATATGAAAGTTCAAAAACAAAAGGATATAACATTAAAAAGAATTAGTTATTTGGTGACAGAAACTCATTGGCACCAGTCGATGAAGTCCCTAACTGTTAATCTAAACCATTCCAACTACGTGGCTGGGGTCCTCGAAACGAAAAAGATCAGCGGTTGAGGACTCTTGGTGACATGGTTGAAAATCGGTCACAGTGAAGCTGATATATTAACTCTATGACGTCTTCTAAAGCTTAAATGTTGACACTAACCATCATCTTCAAATTGTTCATTCTCTTACACTACTTTGCCTACTTTCATTTCGATCTTATTCTATCCACTTATTCTTTGTATACCACTGTGAAGTGTGCCAACTTGAGGCAATGCATCTCTGCGAGAAGTTCTACGTTCATTTTGTCAGTCAGTCAGTCAATGTCATGGATTCAACTGCTGCAGTTCACAGACATAATTTCAAAGTAATGTGTTGCAAAGATTCCTAAGAATTATTATAATAATCTTCAGTGTACAATGCTGTTAGTGCATTAGAACAAATAGCTAAATAGTCATTTGTTTTAGTCCTAAGAATAATATACCAAAGCAACCTCTGAGAACATCTCAGTCATACATTCATATAAATACGATTCCTTTTCAAGTTGTTATTCATCGTAGACTGACATCAGTTGGAGGAACAAAGGAAACCTTCGAGCACTGGACAGCTGTTTCGTTCTAGTATGGGACTCCTCAGAAGTGCGCACCCACGACCCCGCCAGGGATGGAACCCACGACCTTCAGGTTAAGCGGCCATCACGTTACCATTGAGCCACTGGGTCAGAATCCAATGTCCAGTGCTCCCAGGTTTCCTTTGTTCCTCCAACTGATGTCAGTCTATGATGAATAACAACTTGAAATATTTCCAAATCTCCACAACTCCCTTAAAAATACAATTCTTTTTCCTTTTTTCCGCTTTACTCCTAATCGAAGCATAAATAATTAGCAGCACTACTGAATATGATCTCGTTCAGAATATCTCATTGTCGTCATGCACGTTCAACTGAACTAAACGTTGAACAGAATTGAAAGCAATAAAACTAAAGATCTGAATCGCATCTGTATTCAAGAAGTTCATAGCATGCAGAATGCCAGTCCGATATAGTTGACAAAATGTGATTACAAAATAGGCCTTCATTTTATTTCAACCAATGTGATGATATGTTATGCATCTTTACAAAGGTAGTTTTAATTGAATTCATCTGTTTGTTAATTATTTTGAAAAAAATTTCTGAATATCGAATTCTTGTTCACTATCAATAAAGCGATGAGAGGTTGCGTTGTTGAAGGACTTTTCCACCTCTCAGTCACGAATTCCTTGGAATGTGCCAAGACATGAAATCAAATATCCTTCTTTCTGTTCGCCAAATGTATGTGCTTTTGCACTTATACGTGAATTGGTACATGCAGTTGGAGATAACATGAAGTGGGTAATTGTCTCAGTGAGCAATTCGTTCGGTAGAGTATGAATAACCTAGCAGTTGGATAAGTCCTTTTTAAGGCAGCATTTATTTTGTAATTAATTCTACAGGAAATATTGTCACACACGAAATCAGTGGCCGACGAGTCACCTCTTCATGTTTGCGACCATATGTTTGAGCATATTTCAAGGATTTCGTGACAGAACGGTGGAAAAGTCTTCAACAGCGCTATTACTCGCCACCTTATTGATAGTAGACATGAAGTTGATATTCAGAAATCGTTCAGAATAACTAACAAAACAGATGAATTTTAGAGGTGAATAGGGATTTTTAATTTAGAAGTAGTATTCATCATGCAAACATCGAAAATCTGGAAGCACTGGACAGCTGTTTCGTCCTAGTATGGGACTCCTCAGCAGTACGCTATGTCGTGAATTGACAGAAGTTGAAAATTGTGAATCACTGAAAACCGACCCAGTGGCTGAATGGTTAACGCATTCGCCGTGAGACCAGAAGGTCTTGAGTTCGACCCCTAGCAGGGTCATGGGTGCGTACTGCTGAGGAATCCCATACTAGGACGAAACAGTTGTCCAGTGCTCCAAATTTTCAATGGTTCTCCAACTGATGTTAGACCATGATGAATACTACTTCTAGATTAATTTTAATTTGTTGCATTTCGCTTAAAAAGGGTTAGCCATTAAAGGATTTAAACCGAAACAGTTATCAGTCTGAACCTATCATGGTAAAGACTCTTGTTTTGTTAACAGTCCTTTTGCTTTTTGCATACCATTATCGATTCATATAAGTTGGTTTGTTTTTCTGTTTTTATTGTTTTAAACTTCACACCTTTGAACTAATTATCTGAATTCTACTCACATAAGTTCTTAGTTAACATAAACCTTATACAAGCAATAACACCTATCACCTTTCACATATTTTGTGTAACCTTCCTCAATGCGTGAATACATTTATCATTTATCTCACCCCTCTTATCCACTGTTCACTCTCTAATATTCGTCTAATCCTTTTCTATATTGGCAAATTTACTATTAGTTTTGTTTATTTATTCACTCAATTCGTGTGTAAGCAATTACATCATATCGATGTTATTCAAGTCGACAAACTGATTCTTGTATGCAAACTCTTATGTGAATTGATGTTAAAATTGTTTAGGTTGTAAGCAGCTGATGAGAAAGTGAGAAATAAAATGTGTCCATGTTATTCTACTAAAGCTGTTATTTTCACTTTGTGAATCTCTGTCACCCGTCAACTCATTCCTTGTCGATTCATATTCATCTTTCGACAGGGTAATAGAACTTTAGTCTACATTCGCTTACTGTGTTATTTCAGTCTTGTTTCTACGATAGGCTCGTTCTCTCCCTTTAAAGTTTTACATTCCTATCATTCAGTTAGACAGTGTAAACTGTTTTTTTTCCTAAACTGGTTAAATTCATTTGAATTTACTGCCACTTCTTGTTGTTTGTCCCGGTGACTCAAACAATCCCTTCGAGACAGCTACAGTGAGAGGTCATTTCTCAATATGCACTTGAGTCTTTCATGCACCTCAACTTAATTGTTCTCGGCTTTTACGGTTCGTGTATATCAATTCAACTGGGTTGACATTACTGATGATTGTACTTTAAAGCTCAATTTTTGAATCATTTCATGAAACCTTTCAGAGTCACAATTTTGATCCCAAGCACAGATTTATTCTGGGGAATATTTAATTTCTAAGTAAATAGACCTCCGCACAAACGATTACCTAAGTAAGTGTTTTGACCTCTAGGACTGATAAACAGTTATCATCAATCAAAGAATGACATACGATTGTTTACTACTCCAAATGACACAATAATACAGTTTGTTGCAAATGCTGTTAGATGTTTTCAAATAAGCAACAGGAAGTCCTTAGTTGTTTCATGCTTCCTAGCACCCATTACTACGACATGTTTGTAACGTTGGACAAGTTTAAACGCCTTGGGAATTCAAATCCTATCGTTTGACTTCGCAGTTATGTATATTACAGACAGGATACTAGAGTTGCGAATGACTAATCATGAAAATATGTGAACGTGAAATGGACGATATATATTCAGTCTATCACCCAATAGGAAAAATAGTGAACAGCCACAGAGTCAGACGTCAGGTGGAAAAACGGTCAATAGAAAAATCTTTGTAGTTAATGAGGTAACAACCAAAGGAAACTACCAGTCCTACACCAAATACTCATGACAGTCTACTGAGTCACTTACAGAGAAACCGTGATAGCTTATCTCATGATAAAGTTTGTGTTGATGATGGTGCACGGAAAGACAATGGAAGCTTTACGAGTAAGCCATCTAGCTCAGAAGATCCAAAACCACCAAGGAAAATTTGTTATATAGTACCAATTTACTTCGTTGATATGCACCTATAAATATCAAATCTCAGTTAACGACATGGAGCCGACTGCGTGGAAATATATAAGAAATTGTCAATCAATGCTCACTACTGACAATTTGCCAAGTATAGAGGAATAGTGTTCATTGTAAAATATAAGCGGTGGGGTTGATGCAAATGAACGTTCGAAGTCCAAAGAAACACTGAAATTTGTTCTCGAGGTGGCACTAGAAAGTACAAATACGATCTTCAAATGAGATGCTTCTCAAATGTTAATCATTGACTTCGTAATAACAATTAAAGGTAAAGATCTATAAGGCTTGATATCACAGGGAAATCGAATGAGTTTATCTAAAGAACATAAAATTAAATCAGGCGCTTTCGACACCATCAAACAAAATGTCCAAGTAATAAGAGTATATGCATGACTGTGGGTCAACTATAGTGAAAAGGAAATGATTGACGATGGAAATACGTTTTGTATACGACGGGTAAAACAAGGTTAAACTGGTAATGACCGTTAGAAGATAAGCGTTGGTCAACTGTAGGTGAGTAGAGTGGTTGGAAGAGACTCAATAGATAGACAGCTTGATGGGTTTTGGTTATGACATCAGTGATATAAAAGCACGGAAAAGTATTACTTTGAGTATCTGAGATAGCCGTGGTTTGGAAGACTAGTATTGATACTGGGTGATGATTGAAGGTGAAATGAAAATCTGGACCGCGGCAGGATTCGGACTAGCGACCGACAGGTTTTCTGCCCGGTGGTCAATACTAGTCTGCCAAACCACGACTACCTCAGATAGTCAGAATGATAATATGATGCCTCCCCTCTCTAATTCAGTTAGATTTAGATTCGGATGAGAAGTTCTGACTGGGCAGCCAGCGTGGGTACGATCAAGTAATAGTAACAAGTCACGAATTCACATGGTAGTCGGGCAAAACCCTTGTTGATTGAAGCAATTGAAATAAAAGTCCAGTCAGCAGCCGGGCACCGTAGAGTATCGGGCCGGAAACCCAGTGGTCAGTGGTTTGAATCCTGCCGCGGTCCAAATTTTCATTTCACCTTCAATCATCACCCAGTATCAAAAATAGCATTCAAAATAAAAAAAGGACTTAATTTGAAAAAAAAACAAACCAAATGAACTTACCAACAGCATTGCCTGATTTCACTGTCAGTTTCCAGGTTCCATTTGCTAATTCACCCCAGTAATGCACAGACATAAATGGCCATGCATGAAATCCAGCAACATCAATATCTTTTGGTCGTTTGCTTAATAACTGAGAAACTGTTCCAGCTGGTGAAGTTAACCACAATTCAATTTCACCACGCTGGGCACTGCTCAAAGTTACCTGTATACCGTAAGAAAACATAAAAATTAATGTGTACGGAAATGTGGCCACATATAGAATTATACACGAAATGAGTAAACCATTATCAAAGAATAAATAGGAAATGAACGGCAACATGTTCACTCATAATGGCTGTGAGAAGATTGAAATGATGGTGAAAAATATCTTTGAATTATAGGAACTATCAAACTAAGTAACTCAGATAACAAACTCTTAAAGTTGGCGAACATTTTCATTTCAAAGAGGAAATTTCCAGTTGAAAATTGACCTTTTTATGATAGATTCACATAGAATTGAAAGAGAGTGATTTATAACGGCTGGTTATATTCGGTAATAATAGAAAAGTAGGAGAATAGATTAAATGGATAAACTACAAACAGTAATGAGAATGTATATTGTTACTTGCTGTTTCAAGTCTTGGTGGGAATAACACCGCCCACTGGGAGGAGGATACATCCAGCTAAGGAGTCCCAAATAGGATGAAACGCGTGTCCTAGACTCGACTGCTAGCCATTACCCACCATTAATATATAATTGAAAAACAAGCGATGTCGAGGAATCCGCATAGGAGCCCATATATTAATGGGAACCGATCAATTCGATTCAATCAATGATAGGATAATACAGGTAACCCCTTAAGAACATGATGATAAACTAGTAAGCTATTCTCAGAGTTGGCATCCTGTACAATATCATTTTATTATCAGCATCATCAGTATTATTGTTACCTTGTACTTCAGCCTCATTAATTAACGTATACAAATACATACTCACATACACTGGAGATTTTTATATCGATAGAAGGATTATTCACTGAAAGTAGCAGTAATAATTCAAAAGCAATTTGCCTGTTTAATACAATAAGATAAAAAGAGGTTAGAGAGTTTTCATGCAAAACATTCAGCGCATCAACATATACGCACATAAATCAGTAAAAGAGACTAGAATAAATGATGGGTGACCTTTATACTGCAACTTTCCATTCCCATATTTATATTTTCTGCCTGAATACAAAAGTTTCGTTGGCAGGCATATATCTTAATGTACAAATGATTAGTGATTAAGATTGATCGGAAAACCTGTATTGTAACTGTCTTCAGTTACGCAGGGCACTATCGATAACCATGTTGCTATTGGTTTGAAATTTGCTACAAATCGAGCTTTCAATCAATTTTCAGCATTGTTACTATATTTATTTGCTATCTCTTTATATGAAATTCTTATTGATAACTGTGGTATCATATAGGAAAAGAGACAGAGTACTGGAATGAATTACCATTTCAAAAAATAATCATGACGTTATATCAAGTTGGAATTAAAATAATTATTATTCGGTTTATTTACTTCCCGATAATCAAATGAATTGATCTTAGTGATAAGCAGTAGTTGGCAGTAAAGTCTAGAAGGCAAGTTTTGTCCAATTTCGAACTCATTAACAGGATGGATAGATGGAAGTCTTGTTGTTCTCACTAAGATGTGAATCAAGAAAGCAGTGTTTCAAAAACTAGATTTATAATAGCAACTCTTTGTGTATCATTTATGTTAAGAATGCAATTACCACCAATATCGAGGCATACGCATGCGAACTGAGATGTCTTTGGTAGTGACAAATCTATAAAAATGAACAACGAGAAATCATAGGTCGCTGTGATAAATTCAGACTGTTAGTTTTTCTTGTTGTCGCCCATAATATTCTCCATTTTGACCAATAACATTGTGAATAAGAAAAAGGGAACAACGAATTTTGATCACACTTTAATGCAAATTTTCATTAAATGTAAATTAAGCTTTAGGTTTGGATAGGTGTGTACACATAGACTGAGGTGAGCGGTAAGTGTATTCATATTTAGAGCATTATTATTATTGTCATCACTATTTTTATTATCACTAAAACAAAACATTCATTACTTTTCAATAACAGAAGATATGAGGATCCACAGTATGACTGCTACTGGTTTCCATTCTGAGCTATATCTGATAATGTCTCAAGCCACTGAGTTGCTTGATCTCTCGGACCCCACCCACATAGTCGTGATGCACCAGCTGATGCTAATCTGATACAAGTATCCTTCATCCCACGGAGCCACGTCGTACACTGGTCACCCCTTCGCTTTTCCAATCCAGTTCCAAGGATAACAAACAATGAACGGTATGCGAGCCGTTAGGACGATATGTGCAACACATGTCCAAGCAACCGAAGCCGGTGTTTTAAGATGACTTCACTTATTGAATGACGACCTCCATCATACAGAATTCCTTACATACTGTTGCCACCGGATATGAGCAGTCCTACAAAGACAAGGATGTTCAAACACACAAAGTCATCACATACCCTTGACCCGGAGAGGCCAGGTTTCAAAAGCGTACAGCAAAACTGCTAGCACCGAGACGAGTAAGGTACACCGTATTCAAAACCCTGAGACAACAACTCTATCCGGTTGGTGAATACAAGCACAATTTTACTATCATGACTAAATAAAGTTTTATACTTACACTACCATTTTATTTTGTCGCTTAGACATTCTGGATAATGAGGTAATACTATTTGCTGAAAGTAGACGGTGATAAAGTAGTACAAAATTTTAGAATAAAACGGTGTGACAGATGTTTCAGTACCAATGCCTCAAATTATTATTTGAACTGAAAGTCACTGCAGGCAGGTAGAGAGATAGACGATCAACACAGAACCTGGAATTTCTGGGTAGTGGTCTAATTTGCCACACACCACATATCAGCATATTGAGTGAGAAAGCACTAAGATGAAAGATAAAGAAATAAAAAAGAAGGCAGTAAAAAGTAGTAGGAAGTCGTAGTAAGATAGCAAGTTGGAATGAGAGGATATTGAAATTAGTCTGACAGTAGAGATGAAGGTAATATGTGATTATATCTGCACGACTGACACCGATTATGGGCCATATCACGTAGAGTTTCAAACTCCTGGTTTCTGTCTTCACGCGGACCGTAACCCGGAAGTCCGTATTTCCCCACATGACTCAAACCGACAGTCGAAAACGTCATGCGAAGATGTCAAGTTGGAGTCTGAAGGTATCTAGTCTTTATCCAGCCTAAACTTACTTCAACTAACATTATGTGATGTGATTAGACATGCCTGATAGATCTCCCAGCTATCTGAGCCAATGAAGGTTCACAACCTCATCGACTGATTTTTCTCTTCCCTTGAAAACCCCACACCTGAATTCCATGTTACTAATATAGTGATACTACGACATCACCTGTGCTATGAAGGCAACGATGGTCGAGCACCTGAATTTTTCTCATGCCGTCTACTTTAAATGGCCGTTTCACAGATATATATTAGAACAGAGCGAACTGCAGCAAAGAACTCTCAGCCCTTAGTAGGTATTTTTTTATTGAGTCAGATAAGGTTGAATGTCATGGTAAGAAAAAAAAAGACTTAACAGTAAGTCAGAAAATAAACTCAAAGAAATGAACGACAAAAGAAACTTTACTGTTCGGTAAATCAGAAGTGTATAAGAATTGGTAGGAAATATACGGCAGTTAATGCTATTATGGATGAAAATAATGCTGGTATTAATAACAACATCTTCAAAATGGGATTCAAAGCACATAAGATCGAAAACTCAAAACAGAATTCTCAACAAAAATGAAATCAGAGTGACATTTAAACATATAAAACCTCGCCTAGGTAACTAGTTCACTAGTTACTAGCCGGTCCTAAACCCGGATAAAGAATGGCAGTCAACTCTCTACCCCAAACTTTATCGACTTTGAAAAGGTCTTCAACAGCGTCGACCGACAAGTAATTTGACAAGCAGCTGTTCCAACACTACGGAGTACCACAAATCTTTATCAGACTCATTTAACAGCTATATGAAGACGCCACATGCCAAGTGATTCACAATGGAAAGCTCAGTGATGCCTTTGAAACGAAGACAGTAGTAAGACAAGGCTGCCACCTACCGTCACTGATGATCTTCCTGATTGTGGACAACTGGATCATGCAGCGAACTGTGAAGAGTGAGAAGATGGGCATACGCTGACTGGGAGATTTGGATCATGCCGGTGATGATGGTTTATGTCTAATGTCTTGTCGCACAAACTCGAAGATCTACAGGCGAAAACTAACAAGTTGACAGAAGGGGCAAGGCAGCGAAGACGCTACTTCAAATGAACGTAGAGAAGACAGAGGTGATGAAGATACCCAACCACCACCAACAACGGGAAACACCTAAAGGAAACAGTCTGCTTCACCTACCTACCTAGACAGGGCAGCATCGTTTCAACTACAGGTGGTAGAGACGAGACGTCAAAGTCAGGATCAAAAAAGCAAGATAGGCTTTCATCATCCTGAAACCAGTGTGTAGATCTACTGCACTCAGCACAAAGAACAAGATACGGATTTTCAACACTAATGTCAGTCAAGTGAGTCAGTGCTTCTATATGATAGTTGAGAGAGTTGGCGGCGTGTTACGAAAAGCATTTGCAACAAACTACAGACATGCGTCATCAACAGCTGCTGCGTACACCCGGTCACTCGATACTGAAGATGAGATCAGATGGCCAGAATGATAAGAATTGTCAAGGAGGGACTCTAGGAACGAACCAACGAAGGAAGAACCTATCACCCAACAAATGTGCAGAAGAACGTGGAGATAGATTGGATCGGACGTACACAGAGAAGACCGATTGGGGACATCACGCTCCAGGCCAGACAGTCGAGTGTAATCCAAAGGAGAAACGACGAGTTGGGCATCCGAGGAACCCAGGGACAAATAATAATAATCAATAACTAAACATACAAACAAAGGTACAAACCCTACCCTATCGGTTACGGAATTCTATTGAACTTATTGGATAGAAAATATCTTAGTTTTCGAAATCACACGATAAAACTGCTAGGTAATATACACGTATCCATGTAGCCAACAATTTCAGTAAACAGAAACTTAGTAGTGGACCATAGTAGGATAAAAAAGCTAGAAAAGAGACCAGTCATAATTATACATACTAACATGGAG